GGTGAAAAGTAACTCAATTGTGTAAAATTGGGCAACTGTACAATGAACTATCTGTATACTAGAAGTTTATCCAGTCATACGAATGAATCACTATTCGAAAACGATTTTTCATAAATCAAGACCACAAATTCCTAACAGGAATGTAGAATATTTTGAATGATGTTGGGAAACCTGCTGATATGAACAAGAAAAGTTTGAACAATACTTGTCAAGTAGGACAATGTAGGTAAAAAATAATATTTGAATATACCTGTCCGTCTATTGATAATAATGATCTGTCTATAACAATATACTGGTATGTCTCGTCCTCTTACACTGGACAGCAACTGACACAAACTGTCACAAACTGACCAGATGACGTCTGACACTAGATGGTTGTTAGAAGTAATTATCAACAGAGAGAGTGAGAAATGGAGTTTAACATCCACTCGACACAAATTTCGGGACAACATATAGTTCAATTTTATTTCAATAATTCGCTTTCGCGTAGTGATCTTTAGTAGTAGGAGGAAACCGGAGGACCTGGTGAAAACTCAAGAGGTTGGACAGGCAACCATACTCCTTGTCATGTACAACCAGGGAATCAAAACCATGGCAGCTGAATCAATGACAGACCTTATGATACAACGCACACACTAACCATTCGGTCATCCATCCCCCTTGTTGTTATAAGTAATTATCAACTAACAGTGTGATAAACAGTTATTATGTATAATACATGTGATAAAAACAAATAATTATGAAATTAGGTTTAACATCCTACTTTTCTGCACCGACTGGGCTAATGAAGACGGGAGACCTATGCCATACAGTGTGCTATGGTCTACTCTTATATCAAATTCCAACTGGCAAAGTTTTTTTAACGTACATCAGCGTGTATGAGGGACTTTGATTTTTCTTATCATCCTGCACTACTGAAAGGGGAAACCCTTCTCAATCTTTCTCAACCAAGTAATGACGCTGAGGATCAGTATGTCACCAATATGGATCTTGTTTTTAATGAATGAATTGAAATAAAATGGGGTTTGATGTGCTACTTCTCTGCAACAAATGAGATGAGCCTGTGGTATCCCCATAAAGATATACCATATGTTATGTTAGTCCCAAAATAGTCTACTCTTTTGGTATGGACGTCAACGACATCTCTCTTTAAAAACATATTTGGTGCAAATAAAAAAATAAAAAATCTTCCCTGAATATGATTCTTTCAAGGGAAAGTTAAAGATTAAATTGTATTACCATGTCACATCTGATAATGTAGTATTCAGAACTTTCTGACATGTTGTGACAAATTCGTATTGATGGATAAATCCTGTAGATTTTTGCTTTCTCCTCTTTGACTTAATTCACGATTTGTGTAAATAGTGTAAGAGAAGATTACAATACTGGCTATATTCAGAATCTTTTAATGGGTTTCGTTTCAATCTGAATTACTCGAAGCCCAGGAGGTCTGCTATTGATATTTTTGTTTGCTTGTAGTGCAGTCCTCCTGCACATACTATTATATGGGAATTTATGCGTCTAAAACAATATTGAAATTTAACGCAGGAAACAGCATGGGAAGATTATGATATGTGGTCAGCTGTCTATTCATGTGACAAGTTTATTGTCCACTACAAGATAATCACCAGTCATCTAATACCAGACTCTGTCCTAAACGTCTAGTCCATCATGTCAAGCATGTCTCTTTTATCCCGCCACAAACAACACATCATCGGAAACATTCTATTAATACGGTCCACCAACAAAATTAACATCAGGGTCATTATTCAAGGTCCTTGTCATTATGTAGATGAAGTGTGTCTATTGTTACCGGAATACATTCAAATTAACGAAAACCTGTATGTTTGACCACACGTGTAGGTCATCATTATAAAGGTGTTCTCTGATTTATACAGCTATAACAAAGGATAAAGGTCACTTGATGGATAATTTTGATCTTTACAGTTCTTAAATAGGATTAAATGAGATAGAATTGTTTAAACACATTCTGAACATAATTTTAACATAGAGATCTTCGCTTTTAAATTAAAATGGTCTTTGCTTTTAAATAAAAGAAATCTTTGCTTTAAAATTGAAGAGATCTTTGTATTGAGATCTTGGCTTTTAAATTAAAGAAATCTTTGTTTTTAAATTAAAATGGTCTTTGTATTGAAATCTTGACTTTATTTAATATAGTTATAAACCTATAACTGTAGGCCCAGCTGCAGAAGAGTTATAAACTTATATGATTATGACATTGGAAAGTCAGAAGAATTTTAGGTTTATTTGAAAGTATGGGTTTTAGCGATCTATAGAATATTGTCAGTGTTCAGTGTATTGACATGTCTTATTGAACATTCTTCCAGTTTCATATATTGAAGCCTTTAAGGTGTCTAGTCGTTCGTATTGGACGAAAAAAACTGAGGTCTCATGTATACATTGGCATGCACGTAAAAGTTCCCCTGGCAGTTGGAATTCGATATAGTGCTGCTGCCCGGGCCAAAATTTCCCTCATAAGCACACTGTATGGTTTATGCCCATTTTCATTAGCCAAGTTTAGGAGTAGGACATTAAACTCCATTTCATTTCATTTCTTTGAGACTTGTAGGTTGAACTAAGGTGACTTATAGAATATCATTAGTGGAAATTAACAATCTGTCTGTAATATGGATAAAAACAGGTAACGTAAACTACCTGTACTACCTGTGTACTAATTACCTGTTCTTATCTTATAAAGGTCACCTGTAATTACTAGAGTCAATAATAGATTTTAACTTTGAAAGTAGAATTATGTGATTTGTAACGTCTTTAAGAAGGTGACAGGGACATGTTATCTGCACGTTTTCAGTTCGAAAGATATGTAGATACCGTAGTTTGAAGTGCTGGTAGTTCTAAATTTGAGAATACTAGTGCAATAAGGTGGACAAGTGCCCTTTCACTCAATCTGCCAAAAATAGTATTGATGCATATTTTTAGACCAGAACACTAAAATTGACATATACTGTGATAAAAAATGGTAAAAATGATCAAGATGTTGAGAAAATCTGCCACAAATAGATTTATTTTGATGTATTATAGTTCTGTGTGAATAAACATATTTCAGTTATTAAAGATACATTATGGGAGATAAGATAAAGAGCTGGTAGTTCTCAAATTGATCCACTCTGAACCAAGATTTTAGCGATTGAATATTGGGGCTAGCCTCGATCATCATTACTAAAGTTGGTAGGATAAAAAACATAGTCTGGATTATACATTTTTTGATTTAATTATGAATGGAAGTCGAACAGCAAATTGGAACCTAATCCAATAAACATCACAAGCTTGAGATGCCATCGAGAGTTGATTATGGTCTGCATAAGTTAATTAATGTCTAATTAATAATTTAGAAAACATTTCAGGCCTAATGAAAGACCTGCAATAGGCAGATTTAGCTCTTGCATAATGTATGTTTAAGAAATGAAGATAGTTAAACATGAGTGTATTTTATGGTCTTAATGTGCTTGCATGAGTATTGGAGGGGGCGGGGCAAATTTGTATTGTTCCAACACACAAAATTTATCTCAGCAATCCTGGTGACAATTGTATCAAGGTGGTTTGTGGTTTAAGATCGCGAATAGTTTTGTGTTTTATAATCTGTTTGGTTGAGACAATGATTACCATCGAGACATGATGGCTTTCCGCAAATGCATGCAGTAGTAAGGTACTAACAATAATTAAATTGCCTGGTGTATAAGTGGTATACAATAGACCAATCAAACATCAAACAAATAACAGATCTTTAAAGTTGCAATCTATCACGTTTTGTCTACCATCAAACAATCTCCTTTACAAAAATAACCTTTCTCATCATTTAGCTTCAGGCAACTATATTCGTTTGTATGGTTTTCTTAAGAAAGACTATAAGGAAAAACGTCTTTATATATATAACCACCAATGCATTGCACTGCAAGCAGACATCCTTCAAATTTATTATCAATATTTATCTTCTCTGTAAATTTAGCTCGGAGCAACTTCCATGTTGTTTGTGCACGATTCCTGTAAAAGATTTTCTTAGATTTACCGACAAACTACACTACAATACAAATAAAAAAAACGCTTACAAATTTATAGTCAATACACAGGTATCATTGTAACATATAAACCAACCAACTAACAACGTCTAATCTTTGCATGGAGTTAAACAATCTGTATTGTGGTCATCTTACAAACTTTGGGGGGGTTGGATGGCTGAATGGTTAGCGTGCGCGCACTGTATCATAAAGTCTGTCATTGAGTCGGCTGGCGTGGTTTCGAATCCCCAGTTGTATGTGACAAGGAGTAGGGTCGCCTGTCAAACCTCGTGGGTTTTCTCCGGTTTCCTCCCACTGCTAAAGACCCCTACGCGCAAGCGAATTATTGAAATAAAATTAAAAACCATATGTTAGTCCCGAAATGACCTAGTTTGTGTCGAGTGGACATTAAATCCCATTTCTCTCTCTCTTACAAACTTTCACATTTCTCAAATATAAAGGCTGGATCATAAGGTCTGTCATTGAGTCAACGGGTTTGGTTTCAATTCCCCATTTGTACGTGACAAAGAGTAGGGTCGCTCTCTCTCGTTTCGTCAACTTTCTATCTAAATGTAGGTTATATGGAATGAAATCAAATGGGTTTTAACATACTATTCTTCTGCTCCGACTGAGCTAATGATGACCAGAAATAAAATGAAATTAAATTAAGTTTAACATCCTACTGTTCTGCTCCACTGGGCTGATGACTGGAAATAAAATGAAAAGGGTTTTAACTCTCTCTCTCTCTCTCTCTCTCTCTCTTTTTCTACAAATCTGCACTTGCTTACTGCATTATAGTTGCTCCTGTTATTGTCATAAAAGATTCTTTCTACCTGATGACAAATCCACCTCTGACAATATCAACAGACGTGTTTTCATTAGAAGAAGAATTTTGTTTGTTATTTATAAAGCATGTGTCTATATATTTATATATGTATATCTATGTTTACATTCTGTTTATTTCAGGGGCTACAACGTGAAATTGAATCCAGATCTAAAGTGGTGTCGGCCGTTCTCAAACTAAGCGGACGATTGGAGAATGAGTTTGAGTCCGACTCAGAAACTGATGACGGCGAATCGCGACAGTTGGTTGCTGTCAATCTGGAACGTCGTTGGCATGGTATCTGGCTCTTGTCACTAGAATGGCAGTGTCGTTTGGAAGAGGCTTTGAATAAGAAAAAGGTAATTTATTTAGTATTTCTTAATTTCTACATGCCACTTTCTCAATGGAGTAATGAAATATGGTAATTCATGCACAAGGAAGAGTATACTTTCCTCCTTCTGGAACATCTGATTACACAGATGCTTTCCCGTGGTAATCAACCTCACATAATTAATACATTTCCCCATTAATGCTGAGCGGGCTGGCGTGGTTTTGATTCCCCGGTTGTACATGACAAGGAGTATGGTTGCCAATCCAACCTCGTGGGTTTTCTCCGAGTCCTCCGGTTTCCTCCCACTATAGGGTCGTAATTATTACAGATGTAGGCCTACTGTATATTAGATCATAGGATCGTTATTTGTGCTGGTATACATGTAAGCCTACCATATATTAATTCTAAAAGGGCCTATATTTTAGCGGGGGTGGGGGCTGAGCATATCTGGTCGGTCGTTATAAATGCAAACACCATATATTAGTTAATGTGGGTGTTGAACACTATTTCTCTCTGTATTTTGTTTAAAGTCGTGCAGGATTCCTGTGCTTTTAATTTAATACCTACCTACATTGCGTTGAACCAGGATTCCTCTGTTAGTTTTTTATTTAACATAATAAAGTGATGCAGATTGTTATAAATGAGAATAAATCGTGTTCTTTTTTCATGAGACGTGCAGGAAAGACTCTATTGATCTTGTAGATCATCATGGTGTAAGAAAAGATATCTAGATGTTTTTAACCAATTTCAAAATAATGATGTATTCCGAGACAGCGTCTTCAATCTGTAGTTGTTTTTCTTGCTTTCAATTTCTCGTGAAGCTGATGTTACATCTATTGTTTTTAACATCACCATGGTTACCTAATAGCTTTGAATTATCAGTAAATTGGATATTAACATGTAATGGTAACTGTCAGGTTTTTCAATCTGGAATGAGTCTTATTACTGGAACTTTTATATTTCATTTCAAATACATATGATGTATATCAGATTGAGTTAATAACTAAACAATGAAGAATTAATTAATTAACGATGTATTATGTAAGATTTAGATAAAGAGCTGGCAGTTCTTGCTATAATAATTCAAAAATAGATAATAAAAAATAAATATTTTAAAAATTTCATTCAAATTACTTTATCCTGAGCAAAGTTATGAGTGTTTGAAGGTTTGACAAGATAGTCTCAATTGTCAAGTACCATCATAAAAAAATGTCTGGATTATCCAGTTTATCCAGGTCATCTGATGATCTAGAGAGTTGAAATGTGTATAAATGAATGAATCATAATTTATATAACATTTGAAGTTAGAAAAAAAAAGCCTGTAAAGGGCAGATTTAGCTCTTACATAATGCATCTTTAACAAGCCGATCTTCTGATTGATATTTGCTCTGACACATTAATTACTATCCCAAACTTCCTGGTCATATAATTGTAAGCGTGCAGTCGTTTTCTTACGAAATGATTACTTCTTAATTTTGTAATAATGATGAGTCTATGGAGGAAATAATTTAACGTAACATAATCTGGAATTCGTTTCGTTAATGAAAGAATTTTGTTATTTTTATAATTAATATAGTAATTATCTCATTGTTATTTTTGCCGTATTTAATTTGGATTCCGAAGAAACAATGTAGTGGGATTTCTTTCACGTGAAACATCGTTATCCTTGATTTGTGTAATTATCGTCAAGATTTAATTTGATTTCTGTTCATTGTTTTGCGACTATGATAGATTTATTAAAAGCATGCGAGAGTCAGAGATTGTTGGATTCATTGCAATTGACGTTCTGGTATAAAAAATTGAAATTGATATGTTAATAACCTGTCTGTTTTATTAATGATGATATTTGTTGTTCTTTCGGATTTAAAAAATACCCTAGGGTCTGGCTGATGCATTTCTGGATATTAATTTGAAATGCAGTAGTGGTTACTTTTCTGCACTGAGATCAAAAAGGCTGTCATACACAGTGTTTTGGCCATCAGTGTAGTTTTTAGCCTGAAAGTGGCACTATGTCCTTCTTGTGATTTAAGGGATGTTGGATGGCCGAATGGTTAGCACGTGTGCGTGCTGTATCATAAGACCTGTCATTGAGTCAACTGGCGTGGTTTCGAATCCCCGGTTGTACGTGACAAGGAGTAGGGTCGCCTGTCCAACCTTGTGGGTTTTCTCTGGGTCCTCCAGTTTCCTCCCACTGCTTAAGACCCCTACACGCAAGTGAATTATTGAAATTAAATTAAACCATATGTTAGTCCCGAAATGACCTAGTCTGTGTCAAGTGGACATTAAACCCCATTTCTCTCTCTCCCAAAATGACCTGGTTTGTGTCAAGTGTATGTTAAACCCCATTTCTCTCTCTCTCTCTCTCTTTCTCTCTCTCCCTCTCTCCCTCTCTTGTTATTTAATTATCAGTTGTGCCTACTCGTTTGGATGGGAACTGCATACTATTTTCCCAAGCACCCAAAAGAAGTTGTATGATGTCCTTTATTAATGACTAGGAAGATGAAATATGATTTTAGAAATATACAAAATTATCTTTAACATAATATTTATATATATATAACCAAAATTATTTAACATAATATTGATATTTATGACCAAAATAAACCAATATTTCAGTCTTAAATAAAGCTTAGCAATATACTAAAATATCTGAAATAATATTAATATATACCACTAAGAATAGAAAATAAACTCACATTTCAAACTTCAGTTGGGTTTAACAAAATAACGAAAGCATATTTTTCGCATAATACTAACATACAACACTAAGATACACTCACATTTTAAACTTCAGTTGCATTGGGCTTAATAAAATAACGAATGCATATTTTTCGCATAATACTAATATACACCACTAAGATACACTCACATTTCAAACTTCAGTTTGGCTTAATAAAATAACGAATGCATATTTTTCGCATAATACTAATATACACCACTAAGATACACTCACATTTCAAACTTCAGTTGGGCTTAATAAAATAACGAATGCATATTTTTCACATAATACTAATATACACCACTAAGATACACTCACATTTCAATCTTCAGTTGCATTGGGCTTAATAAAATAACGAATGCATATTTTTCGCATAATACTAATATACACCACAAAGATACACTCACATTTCAAACTTCAGTTGGGCTTAATAAAATAACGAATGCATATTTTTCACATAATACTAATATACACCACTAAGATACACTCACATTTTAAACTTCAGTTGCATTGGGCTTAATAAAATAACGAATGTATATTTTTCACATAATACTAATATACACCACCAAGATACACTCACATTTTAAACTTCAGTTGCATTGGGCTTAATAAAATAACGAATGCATATTTTTCACACTTATCATTTCATGATAAAAGTGGTGTATATTTATCAGTAGATATATCAAGTTAAAAAGTTATTTACTAAATTTACACTTAAAATCAATATTTATTACCTGAATGACCCGGTCAAAAAGCTAAATATATATTTATAAAAATGACATGCCACAAGATTGAAATTGACAGGTCAACTTGTATATGACCATCATTAAATAAACTAGTTTTCTACCTGTTTTATCGGTTTGCATAGAATCTATAAACTGTTGCTGTGACTGGAGTATTTGAGTTATTTAGACATATGAATTATACTTGAACATTGTGCATGAAATCTATCAACTGTTGCTGTGTCAGGAGTATTTGAGTTATTTGGACATATACCTGTACATTGTGTTTAAATACCTGTTTTATGGATATATAAAACTAATATACTGTATGCACAAGTGAAAAATTATGTTCCTTAATTTGACTCAGGCTACATTTGCCTGCTTAACATATGGTAAGAAAAACTTTTGTCAAATTCTTCGTACAATTGCCGCTCCCCTGATACTCTAATTGACTATATATTTCGTTGTTTTGTTCAGCCAGTAGAGATGACTTACAGGATAAAAAAATAAATGATGAATTTCATTTGATATTTAAATATACCTTACAGGTAGGGTGATTTTGAATATATATAAAGTAGGATCAATTTTAAATTTTGAATATATAAAGTAATAATAAGTGATAAATGATGATGATAAATATAAATATATATGTCACACCTGTCTACATCAAAGGCTTGACATCATCATTAACACTTCATCATTACTACAGGTAATATTGATATAAATAAATATATTGATAGAGCTCTAACATTTCTACAGGTATTACATAGGTGTAAATAGAACATACAGTAGTTAACACATTAGTGTATTATTCATAAATAGTCCAACATTATTCTCAAAACTTGTTAAAAGTAGGGGGGTTGTATGACCGAATGATTAGTGCGTGCGCTTTGTATCATAAAGTCTGTCATTGAGTCAGCTGTTGTGGTTTCGATTCCCCGGTTGTACTAGACAAGGAATAGGGTCGCCTGTCAAACCTCGTGGGGTTTCTCTGGGTCCTCCGATTTCCACCCACTGCTAAAGACTCCTACGCGCAAGCAAATTATTGAAATAAACGTTAGTCCTGAAATGACCTAGTTTGTGTCAAGTGGAGGTTAAATCTCTTTCGGGCGGGGGTCTCTGTTTGAAGTCATTGAATTTGAACAAACTTTATTATCAATGATATAATATTATTTTATACACTAGGATTCAATAATATATTTTATGCATACAGCTGCCTCATTATTCATTTATAATCCTCGTCAAGTTATTCATCAAGTTGTATTATCATTTACAGTTAGAATTCTTTGAGTGTGTCTTTCAATCATATCAAAAGAACTCTCACATAGTGTATGCATTGATTGAATACAGGTATTGAATAATGCATAATTCTCAATGCAAACATTTTTGTGCTTATATTGATTCAATTTGAAACTCGTCGGATAAGAAATCAAAATTATCACACTGAAATCACCTGATACTGCTTTTACAAATGAAAAGGTGCGTTTAGAAAATATGAAATTAATCCAAGTCTAAATTATTACACCTAAAACACCTGATACTGCATGTTATGAGGGTCTGATGTGTCCACTTTAGATCTTAAGATCT